AGTATTCTCTCCTTTATTTCAACCCTGTTGAATCTGACGATTATGTGCCTTGGGGTTGCTCTTCTTGCGGAATATCTTTGTGGTGTTCTCTGTATTTCCTGCAATTGAGTGTTGGCCTGTCTTCCTAGGTGGGGGAAATTTTCCTGGATGATGTCCTGAAGAGTATTTTCCAGCTTGGATTCATTCTCTTCGTCTCCTTCTGGTACACCTATCAAACGTAGGTTAGGTCTTTTCACATAGTCCCACATTTCTTGGAGACTTTGTTCATTCCTTTTTGCGCTTTTTTCTCTAATCATGATTTCTCATTTTATTTCATTGAGTTGGTCTTCGACTTCAGATATTCTTTCTTCTGCTTGGTCAATTCGGCTATTGAAACTTGTGCATGCTTCGCGAAGTTCTCGTATTGTGTTTTTCAGCTCCTTTAATTCACTCATATTCCTCTCTAAGTTATCCATTCTTGTTATCATTTCCTCGAATCTTTTTTCAAATCTTTTTTCAAGGTTCTTAGTTTCTTTGCATTGATTTAATACATGATCTTTTAGCTCACAAAAGTTTCTCATTATCCATCTTCTGAAATCTAATTCCGTCATTTCGTCACAGTCATTCTCCGTCCAGCTTTGTTCCCTTGCTGGTGAGGAGTTTTGGTCCTTTCTAGGAGGCGAGGTGTTCTGGTTTCGGGTGTTTTCCTCCTTTTTGCGCTGGTTTCTTCCCATTTATGTGGATTTGTCCGCTGGTCGTCTGCGTAGTTGCTGACTTTTCGATTGGGTCTCTGAGTGGACACCCAGAATGTTGATGATGAAGTATTTCTGTTGCTTGGTTTTCCTTCTACCAGTCTAGCCCCTTTGCTGTACGACTGCTGAGGTCCGCTCCAGACCCTGCTTGTCTGGGGTGCACCTCTAGCAGTTGTGGCTCAGCGAGGGATGCTACCAGTTTATTTTTCTGCTATCTTTGTCCCAGGATGATGCCTGCCTAATGTCAGTCTTTTGGATATAGAGGGGTCAGGGAGCTGCTTGAGGAGACAGTTTGTACTTTATAGGAGCTTGATTGCTGAGCTGTGAGCTCTGCTGTTCATTCAGGGCTGTTAGGCTGCTATGTTTGATTCTGCTGCAACAGAGCTCATTAAAAAAACCCTTTTTTTTTCTCAAATGCTCTGTGTTGAGGGGTTTGGGCTTTATTTTTGGATGTCCGTTGAGGTCCTGCCCAGCTAGGACGCAGACTAGCCACTGTTTGCCTGCCGAGGCTCCGCCCTGCTGTTGTGACGCTCGCCCTGGCTCTGCTGTTCTGCTGTTCTCTGCCACGCCCTGCGGCGGAGTCTCTCTGTTGTAGCAGGTTGCCTCGGCAACGGCTGGCTGCGTCAGCAGTGGGCGTGTATCTCAGTAGGGACGGGTTGCCTCGGCAACGGCTGGCTGCGTCAGCAATGGGCGTGTATCTCAGTTGGGGCTGGTTGCCTCGGTAGTGGTGGACGCCCCTCCCCCTCAGAGCGTCTCGGGCCGTCTGCATGGGGCTTGTTTGAAATTGCGGTTTTGTTCGTCCCACTGGGCCACCCCTAACGCTCTGTCCATGCAATCCCCTGGGCTGGCCCACTGTCCAAGTCTAGCTCAGTCTCAAGTCCAGCCCTCTCATGTCTCCGGTTGCCGGTTCAATGGGGCACCCGGACGAGCACGCCCTGTGGGGAGTGCTGGGTAGGGCCGGCCGCCGCCACCCTGGCTGCTGGCTTTGCCAGGTGGAGTTTCTGCCTGGCGTACCGCGTCTCCTCTTCACTTGGGAATTTCCCCATTCCGTGGGCAACAAAGATCAGTCTGGAAATGCAGCTCAGACTCACCTCTCCGCGGACACAGCGAGAGCTCCAATCCTGGGTTGTTCTCACAGCGCCATCTTGAGTCCTCCCCCAGATGTAGTTGTTAAGGCCAAGAGTTTGCTGTCTGCTTACAAAGCATGCATTTTTCCTTTCTGCCACAAGGTGGCTCTTTGTATCACAAATCAATGAAAGTTCTAGTAGACTTGATCGTTTTTCCGAAACCTCCTAGAAAAGGGACATGTAAGTGGATTATCAAAATGAAAGTGAACTATAGGTACTTTTAAGGACATATGAATGTCAGTAAAAGACATTTGCCTTAATGAAGTTCTGTAAATTCAGCAAAGAGGATAGATTACTATGCATTAAAATAAGCAATCAGGGAAAGCTTTGTAGAGAGGATGACATGAGCTGGACTTGAAAGGTGTAGAATATGAATAGACCAATGTGATGGTAAGGCCATTCTTGGCAAAGGCACAGAGGAAGAGGGGGCACAGCCTAAGTGGAACAATTAAGTAAACAGGAAGACCACAGTTTGAATGTGTGAGTGAGAATTGGTGCAGCAGACAATGGAGGGTCGTGGATGCCAGTTCTTCTATTAATAGTCCTCTGTAGCCACCTTCTCGGACTTGGGTTATGTTAGCAGCCTCCGCGTCTCTCTCTTGTGTCTTGTTATTATGGCCCACTATTGCACACGACTGCACACTACTTACTGAAAAGTACTCTTCCTAAAGTCCCGTCCTGTCCCTCTGTTGGTTAAGAATCTCTAGTGGCTCCTCCTGCCTACCGCATTGAATTCAAACCTCATTCAAACTCAGTGTAACAGGAAAACACAGAAGCAGTTTTGTTCTTCTGGCCAATTAGTTTAGGAAACATGGGGCCTGCAGTCATTTATTCTTGTAATTTTTGTTTTACGTAAGACTACATGATCTTGGAAAGAGTTCAGAATATAATGTTATGTTAGTAAAGGCTGCAAGCAATCTATGGTGCATGTTTCCATTTTCCATCTTCTTTCTTTCTATCCTTTCTTTCTCTCCTTCTCTCATTTTTTCTTTCTTTCTCTCCCTATCTCCTTTTTTATTTTTATTTTTTGAGATGGAATTTCACTCTTGTTGCCCAGGCTACAGTGCAATAGTGTGATCTCCTCGATCTTGGCTCACTGCAACCTCCACCTCCCGGGTTCCAGCAATTCTCCTGCCTCAGCCTCCTGAGTAGCTGTGATTACAACCATGAACCACCACATCTGGATAATTTTGTATTTTCAGTAGAGATGGGGATTCTCCATGTTGGTCAGGCTGGTCTCGAACTCCCGACCTCAGGTGATCCACCGGCCTCGGCCTCTCAAAGTGCTAGGATTATAGGCGTGAGCCACTGCACGTGGCCTCTTTTTGTTTTAAAAGTGCATATGTGTAAGTATTTAATCATTTTAAAAGTTTGGGCCAAGTGCAGTGGCTCATGCCTATAATCTCAGCACTTTAGGAGGCCAAGGAGGGAGAACCACTTGAGACCAGAAGTTTGGGGCCAGCCTGGGCAGCATAGCAAGACCCTGTCTCTACAAAAAATAAAATAAAATAAAATAAAATAAATAGCTGGGTGTGGCGGTGCACACCTGTAGTCCAAGCTACTCTAAAGCCTGAGGTGGGAGGATTGCTTGAGCTCAGGAGTTCAAGGCTGCAGTGAGCCAAGATTGTGCCACTGCACTCCAGCTTAGGTGACAGAACAAGACCTTGTCTCTAAAAAGAAAAAAAAAAGTTAAAAAAATGTTTGTAAAGACAGAGGAAATGTTAGTCATTTTCTCTGAGAGGCAGAATTTTCTTTTGATTTACCAGTATTTTCTAGTTTTTTTCTGAAGTGAACATGTATTACTCTATACTAAAGTTATTAATAAAAAACTGATTTAGTTTTTCTCTCGCAAAATGGGGATTAAGACATAGTTATAGAAGCATGGTGAAACATGAAAAGATATAGAGCTGATAGACGAGAGTCAAGTGATTGTTGTTTGTAGCTTCTTTAAAATTAGCTTAGGAGAGATACATACATTTTAAGGTCATTGAAAATAATCATGGCAACCTCTTTTAAGAAAGTTTGTGCTAGGCATGGTGGCTCACACCTGTTATCCCAACACTTTGAGAGGCCAAGAAGGAAATCGCTTGAGGCCAGGAGTTTGAGACCAGCTTGGGCAACATAAGGAGACCTTGTCTGAAAGAAAGAAGGAGAAAAAGAGAAAGAGGGCATAATAAAAAAGAAAGTTTTCTGTTTCTACTTTCCTGCATCTAGATTCAAATGAAACAGAAAGAACTCTAACCTGCAGCAGAAATCTGAATCTGGGGTCCTTCGATGAGCTGAGACTGGGATCCTTGGATGAGCTCCTGAAATTATACACTAATTTGCACATGTGCACACTTTTCAGGAGAAAATTGTTGGTTTTAAAAGAAGTTAAGAACTAAAATTTAAAACCTGGAGAGTCTTTCATCTTTCAGAGGATTTTGAGACAAAGCCCTTGCTTCTTCTGCTAAGGCTACTTAAATTGGATAGTTTTGCAACTGAACAAGATAAAAATGACAGTGAGGAACCAAGGTGAAGGTGCTGCTTTTATACAGAAACACCCTATAGTGCAATGTGTGACTGATGAAAAAATTACCAGAAATAAATAATACATTCCAAGTGGAAGTTATCTTACATGAAAATTCTTTGATGGTCTTGATTGGTAGATCTTTGGAACTTCCTTCAGTGCTCATGACCTGTTCATTTGAATTACCTCAGTGATGGAAAATTTGGGTTAAATTTGGGTTTTGTCACTTTGCCAAATGTTACCTAAAATGAATAACTGTGAATAACGAGGTAACCAAGTTTGGGGAAATTCCCATTTTAGGCTGCAAATGAGTAAAGACAAATCACAAGACGTTTCTTGGTTGATTTACTTATTTAACATTTTAAGCACTTCCAAAAACATCCTAAACAATGGTGACATCACAAGAATAAATATGTAACTTTCAAAGGCAACTGCTCTGAAAGAAATAGCTAAATATACTTAACAACTGTCAGGCTCTGTACGGCAAACCTCATATGCACCTACTAGTTTTCATCTAATGTGCTATGTATAGGCTTACTTTTTGTATTGCATCCGTTTAGACTTGTAATGCCTGTTAGCCATTATTCTCTTCACCTGAGTTAATTTCTTCTTTTTCTTCTGTGAAACTGCCAGATATATTGATACAGCAGATGCTTTGGAGCAAGAAACTAAACTGGGGTTACGACGCTTTGAAGTTTGTGACAACGTTGATCTTGAAACTATTTTGATGGAATATGAGAGTTATTATTTTGTAAAATTTCAAAAATACCCCAAAATTGTCAAAAAGGCATCAGACACAGGTACATGACTATTTTCTAGAGATAAGGCTTTATCTCATCTGTAAGATTAGTGTTTCTTTCTCATCTTATTCCCAGATAGATGGAGACCCTCACCCTGCACCAAAAGCGTACACCAAAGGATTGTGTAGCCATCCTCACAACCAGCACAGACAACTGCAATCATGATCATCTGGACACTGACATCCCTTTAGTCATGTTGGCATTTTAAGGAAATGTGTTTTCAGGCAATGAAAGCAAAACTCCAGTGTATCATAGATACTTTTCAGATAATTAAAATTACTTTTAATTTCTTTTCCTTTCCTTTTCTTTTCTTTTGAGAGGGAGTCTTGCTCTGTTGCCCAGGCTGGAGTACAGTGGCATGATCTTGGCTCACTGCAAACTCCAACTCCCTGGTTCAAGCAATTCTTCTGCCTCAGCCTCCCGAGTAGCTGGGATTACAGGAGCATGCTGCCACACCTGGCTAATTTTTTGTATTTTTAGTAGAGATGGGGTTTCACCATGTTGGCCAGGATGGTCTTGATCTCCTGACCTCATGATCTGCCCACCTCGGCATCCCAAAGTACTGGGATGATAGGCATGAGCCACCACGCCCAGCCTACTTAAATTTTTTTTAGAGATGAAAAGAGCTGTTGGAAGAGGATAAATGATAGAATACTTTTTCTTCTTAGGAGACCTATTGTCTATCTTGAAAATAACTATGAAAATGAGTATTGGGGAAGCTAATAGCTCATGTATAGATAATGAAATGCTTTTGAAAGCCATCAATCCAGATAATGATCGATATAATACAAAGACCCAGTATAAGTTAGCAGTCAATGAGGCTGGCTGGAGGAAAGATCTAAAGTGAGGGCCCTGTGCTTTGTAGTAACATTGACTGAGCAATCTGTAAGTGGGGGAAGTAATTATAAACCAAGGGAGATCATTGTCCTGTTTACAAGGCACTTGTTAAGCCACAGACTTTAACATTTCATGTAGGGACCGGGAAACCAAGAGGAACATCAATTTAAAGTAGCCAGGGCCAAATCTCAGAGCCAGAAAAGGTCGCAGAGGTATTTTATCTGAGCTCCCTTCCAATGCAGCATTCAGGGGGTTAGATGTGGGTCTTGTAGAGAAAGCCCAGACTCCTAACCACAGGGTGATCGGCACTGTTAGTGACATGATCTCATTTCTAGATGGCTAGTTCTCCTATGATATTGGACACATTATTTTTATTTTAACTAGCAGAGTATGACTTAAATATTCCCTGCCAGATTTGTGCAATCATCCTGGTGTCCCGTGTAACACAGCAAAGTTCGTGAAAGCGTAATAAAATGGTAGCTCTAAAGCTAGCCTATATTGGAGTTGCCACCACGTCCACAGTCTTTAACACGTTTAATATCTGAGGCCTTTGCAGTCTTTCTCTGTGAGGCGATGCTTGAGAAGCTCGGGCCTCTTTCTCTTCACTGGTAATTTCAGTTCTCTCTATATGAGAATAGCTTAAAGTCTCTAGATTTCAATTGGCTATAGCACAAATTTTAAGAACAATGCATAAAGGGGAAACATACTTGAAAAAAATCACTTTGTCACTCTTAAAATTATTTTCTTTCCCTCCCTGTTTTTTTTGTCACAGCAGAAAATAATTTACCACAAAGAAGTGGAGGGAAGACCAGAAGGTAAAGTGAATGGTAATTATCTTAGTCAGCTGAGCTCGAGGAGCTTGCGGGATCCCTTTCCAGAACCTTTGCCCGCACAGCCCCGTGACCCGCTCCCAGCAACACTGACTGCAGTCATGCGCCCTGGCTCAGCCCAGGACTTCTCTCATTACGGCTGCTCCAGATTTGGGCCAGTGTTTGTCTATTCCCCTGGTTTTACTGTAAATAAGTGCATCCTATGATGCTCTGTCTTTCCAGATCATGTGGTATGAAAAGTCTGAACCTTAGAGGTTAAAAGAGCAGGTTCAATTCCTGGCTCTGCTATTTACAAGTATGGAGCAAGTTTCGGACACATAGTTCCTGGCACAGATTGAGCACCCAAGAAATATTATTTTCCCTCTTTTCATCATTTAGCTAATTTCAAGCACTCCCAGATCAGATGTTCTGACCTGTCTGAAGATCAGTAATGAGCCAGGAGGTACGAGCTCACGCTTCTGCCTTCACTAGTCCTGGCCTGCGGGGACCCATTCTTCTCTTACTTTTTCCTTCTGTTCATGGCTCATCTTGCATTCCTTTCTTCAGCTTCTCAAGTCCAAATCTCATTTGGGACTTGTAGCCTCTGATGGGAGCCCTTCTTTCTTTTGACCTTTCTGGGTACACACATTCTCTTACAAGGCCCCCTACTCTTGCCAGTGCCCTTCCCATTCCTCTCTCCCCACTCCCTCCCACAGAGCTGTTCCAAAATACCCAGGGGTACTAGGTTGCTGTTGCTGGCTGCCAGTGAGGGCCAGCTTTGGGGCATCGCAGTCTGTGGGCTGTTGCTATTACAGTAGAGCCTAAACCTCACAGGAAGCCTAGAGTAGGCTTCCTGTAGGGGCCATACAACCATCCAGGCAGTGAAAAAAGTGTTTAAAATCTTAAAATGCTCTTGGAAAAAGAAGAGTTAGATTGTAATCACATGTAACTTATTAGGCCCTCAAGAAGTAGGGGTTCTGTCATGCCCCCGCTACACTCCCTGCTCCTGAGACTCCAGTTCTCTTGTTCCAGCCTCAGAAGGGACTAGGACACCTCAGAGGGCTGGTGGACACAGCTTGCAAAAATGGCCATGGAGCCCACGAATGCTCCGCAATCCTACTCACCATAATAGTTGGCCTCGGGCTACCTTTGCTTTGTGCTGTTCTGCAGGAAGAGTTTTATTGCTTTGACAAAAGTGGTATTCTTTTATTTATAGTTTCCACAAAGCTAGTCAGACTCTGGTAATAAATGATAACTGCTTGTGCATTGAGATCGTGAGGAGCCTTTGAGGCCAGCTTCGGAAGGCTTTCGGAGTCTGATGATTTTTCTGGAACCTTCTCAGTATTCTTCTCTGGCAAATGCTCTGTGAGTGAATGGTGTTGGGGTGCTTTGTTCCCTTTAGGGATGGAGCACGGTGGCACATTTGACAGCATGGGGGCTCCTCAGCTCCTCTCTGAGTAGACGTTTGTACATGGCAAGTGTAAAGGCTGAATAGCAATTGGTTAGAGTCAGGAGGAATAACCAGGAAAGTAATGAACGGTGTTTCTGCAGACAATTTTGTACTCAAATATAGACACTGACGTGAGACGTATCATGAGACTGGCGATATATTAGCAAACCAAAGTGTCTTTTCCTAATCTTGGGAAATGTTCCTAATCCCCGTTTAAAGATTTACTGATGAACCAAAGGAGGAAAGGTTATCCAATGTGATGGATAACAGAACTGGGATCCCAGAAGGTCTTGGCAATTCCAGAGATGGGTTCAAAGTAACAAGGTGAAATTGAATAAAATAAGGCTTAAGCTTGAACAAGAGTTACAACAAATAGCCCCTTCATTACAGAATCAGACACCCAGAAATCTCAGTTTACCTGGGCCAACAGTGTGACATGAATGCTATTGTGGTCCCAGCACCATCAATAGAAATACAGGGTCCAAAAGTAGGAGGTCACACTATTCTGGAAGGTGACCAGTATGAGGAAGAATCTGGGAGCCAGGTAACTTTAGCAATGACTGGAGCAACTGGAGATGTTGAGTTTGAACAGAGGCTTGGTGGAGGGGGGGCTCCTTAGAACAACGCAGGAACAGGCTTCAGTTCACCCTCTAGTGGGTGATTAGGTCTTCTCTGCAGAATTCAACAGGGCACACCTAGGACTAATGGTTAAAGTGAAAGCAGAGTGAATTTGGTGCCATGTTCAGAAGAATTTTACAATCCTCAGAGCTGATTGAAAATGAATTGAGTTGCATCGTCCATTAGTGATCTTGTATTTTGGTCATGTTAAAGCAGATCTTATGGATCAGTTGCATCCAATGGGAAATCAGAGTGGGAAAATAGAGTCCCTGTTTCCTGCCAGCTCCACAAGGATGGTGAGGCAAGTTTAAGTACACACATGGAGGACCCAAGATGGCTGATCGCTAACATCTCGGGATTGCAGCTCTCAGTTAAAGTGCAGAGAACTAGAGGATGCCACACTTTCAGACAAATTCAGGATCTTCACTGAAGATCCCCAGTGGAGGAGTAACACAGGTCGCCAGCACGACTCTTGTGGCCGGCGCAGCAGTTTCGCCGGCACCTTGGCGCAGCAGCTCTTGGAGCAGAGTAAACAGGGCTGGCTTCCCTTCGGACCGAGGTTTGGAGGACCCACACGGGCCCCCAGCACGACTCCTGAGGCCGGCGCAGTGGCTCTCGGCGCAGTGGCTCTTGGCGCAGAGTAAACGAGACTGGTTCCCCTTCTGACCGAGGTTTGGAGCCCCGGGAAGGCAGAGTCGCCTATTTCAGACACAAGAAGGAAGCCAGACAGGAGAATCCTGGGCAGAAAAGCACCATCAGTCTTAATGCTGCTGTTCTGGCCCTGGGAACTAACAACTTGGACATCCACTCAAGAGACCTAATCTGAAAGTTGGTAATTTCAAAGATGACAGGAGGATAAATTTACAATGATGGGAAGAAACCAGCATAAAAAGGCCGAGAATACTCAAAATCAGAACGCCTCTGCCTCTAAAGATGATCACAGTTCCACATCGACAATGGAACAAGGCTTGATGGAGAACGAGTTCATCCCAATAACAGAATCACTCTTCAAGGAATGGATAATAAGAAACTTCTGTGAGTTAAAAGAACATGTTGTAGCCCAACATAAAGAAACTAAGAATTTGAAAAAAGGTTTGATGAAATCCTATTGAGAATAGACAACTTAGAGAGGAATATAAGTGAATTAATGGAACTGAAGAATACAATACAGGAACTCCGAGAAGTATGCACAGGTTTAAACACTCGAATTGTTCAAGCAGAAGAAAGGATATCAGAGGTCAAAGTCCAACTTAATGAAATAAAACAAGAAGACAAGATTAGAGAACAAAGGATAAAAAGGAATGAACAAAGTCTACAAGAAATGTGGGACTACGTGAAAAGACCAAATTTACGTTTGATAGGTGTACCTGAATGTGACTGAGAGAATGAATCCAAGCTGGAAAATACCCTTCAGGATATTATTCAGGAAAATTTTCCTAAACTAGCAAAGCAGGTAAATATTCAACCCCAGGTAATACAGAGAACACCACAAAGATATTCCTCAAGAAGGGCAACCCCAAGGCACATAATCGTTAGATTCACCAGGTTGAAATGAAGGAGAAAATACTAAGGGTAGCCAGAGAGAAAGGTCAGGTTACCCACAAAGGCAAGCCTATCAGACTTACAGCAGATATCTCAGCAGAAACTCTACAAGCCAGAAGAGTGGGGGGCCAATATTCAACATCCTCAAAGAACAGAACCTTCAGCCCAGAATTTCATATCCAGCCAAACTAAGCTTCACAACTGAAGGAAAAATAAAATCTTTTACGAACAAGCAAGTACTCAGAGATTTTATTACCACCAGGCCTGCTTTACAAGAGCTTCTGAAAGAAGCATTACACACAGAAAGAAACAACCAGTATTAGCTTTTCTAACAATATGCCAAAAAGTAAAGAGCACCAACATAAAGAAGAATTTTCATCAACGAATGGATAAAACAGCCAGTTAACATCAAATGGCAGTAACCCTAAATTTAAATTGACTAAATCCCCCAATCAAAAGACACAGCCAAAACCCAACGGCATGTTACATCCAGACCCGTTTCACATGCAAGGATACACAAAGACTCAAAACAAAGGGATGGAGATTTACCAACCAAATGGAGAGCAAAAATAAATAAATTAATAAATAAAAAGCAGGAGTTGCAATTCTCGTATCAGATAAAATAGATTTTAAAGCAACAAAGATATAGTGGTAAAAGGATCAATGCAACAACAAGAGCTAATGATCCTAACACCCAGATACATAGAGACTTAGATTCAATGAGACAGAAAATTAATAAGGATATCAAGGACTCAAACTCAGATCCGGAACAAGTAAACTTAATAAGTATTTATAGAGCTCTCCACTTCAAATACACAAAATATACATTCTTGTCAATACCACATCACACCTACTCATAGGTTTAAATGAAACATTGATTGGCCATTATTAATACCCATTTTTTTTTTCAGAATAAAGCAATATTTCCGTTCACGCTCCCTCTCTCTCTTCCTCTTTCTTCCTCTCCTTTACTCATTTTTTTCTTTCCTTCTCTCAATAAATAAATAAATAAATAAAAATAAAATAAAAAATAAAAAAGAAATCAACTTGTAAACCTCTAGATCCAGGTCGGCAATGTCTCTCTCATTGCTTGATTTCCTTCCTTCCCTTTCCTCCCTCCCTCCCTCCCTCCCTGCTTCCTCCCTTCCTTCCTTCCTTTATCCCTTCCTTCCTCCCTCCCTTCCTTCCTCCCTCCCTTCCTCCTTCCCTCCCTTCCTGCCTTCCTCCCTTCCTCCTTCCCTCCCTTCCTGCCTTCCTCCCTTCCTCCTTCCCTCCCTTCCTGCCTTCCTCCCAAAAAAAGGTACACACACACATGCCCAAACACATATATATATAACTTCCCTTAAGTCAACACTATTAATTAATATAAATTTGATTTGTAAAATGCTTGGTTTTCATTTCATAGATGTTTCATTTTTGTGCCAGCAAAAGGCTGGAAAAAGACATTCTTATTCCAAGTTTAAAGATAGAAAAAAGTGCCAGGCCTGGTGGCTCATGCCTGTAATCCCAGCACTTTGGGAGACCAAGGCGGGTGGATCACGAGATCAGGAGTTCGAGACCATCTGGGCCAACATAGTGAAACCCCATCTCTACCAAAATATAAAAATTAGTTGGGCGTGGTGATACATGCCTGTAATCCCAGCTTCTCGGGAGGCTGTGGTGGGAGAATTGCTTAAACCAGGGAGTCAGAGGTTGCAGTGAGCTGAGATCATATCACTGCACTCTAGCCTGGTGGCAGAGCAAGATTCCGTCTCAAAAAAAAAAAAAAGATAGAAGAAAAACACCCTAGAACTGTTAGTGTCTGCCTCTCGTGAGGCTCCCCGCAGTGAGCCCAACACTCACAGAGGTGTCACCATGTGGACATTGGTGGTTTTGTCGACATGGGTGGTCTTGCTGGCCAAATAGCTGTACATTTATTACCCCATCTAGAAAAGAAGTTGAAACAGCAGCTCTCTGAGATCACTCTGAACATGGGGAGACATGCTTCTACAGAACCTTCTGCAAATGCTTCTCACATATAGGGACAAAAGAACTAAGAGAACTAAGCAACAATGGTGGAGTTCATGTTCTGCCCCCCATGCTAGTCCTGTCTCTTTGGATGTCATCTTCTATGGAAAAATACACATTTTCCAATACTGAATTTTATGTCTAATTATGAGGATGTAGTGAAAAAAATTATTTGATCTTTCTATGGATATCTAACATATATACAGTCATACCACATATATTACTATGTGTAAATGCATATACTCTTATAACCACAGTTGCAGCCACCAGCAGGCTCTCTTTGCCCCTTCCCAAATTCTCCCCATCTCCCTCACAGTTAGCTACTCTTTTGACTTCCAGCCCCATCAGTTTGTTTTGCCTGAAGTAAACGATTGTTGATGAAAAATTGTTTGGCAGCTATGATTGGTCTGGGACAACATTGATGAGGGAAGGTTTGTTTTCCTTCTGCAATCCCCTTTTGATGTTTATTGCACAGAACATGCTGAGAGGTATTTTAAGTGGGCAGGGTATATCTAGGACATTGGATTAAAACCATGGGCCGATCCCTGGATTTCCTACTGCTTCTTCGTTTGAATGGGAGGACATCTTTCTCCCCCACACCTTTCTCCTGGTCTGATGCTGCTTTTAAGGAAGGTGGAAGGAACAATGGAAGAATGCTTGTAAAGCAATGTGTTCTTAAGAACTAAAGCTATTTGCAGAAGGGCTGGAGCTATGTGGTGTGAAAGGGAAATGAAGAGGGTGAGCTGGGGGGCTCCAGGAGGGGATCTTAGAAGAACCTGGTGAGTATCCTAGAGGGAGTTAGGACCAGAATGGACCTGGTGGGTGGATAGCGTAGGTGGAAGGGCCCTATAGTGGCCACCTGTGTATCTTTCCATAGCTTTCTTAAATGCGCTATTCTTAAGAATAGTTGTTAGAATTAAGTGGCTAGAATAATTTCTTCCAAGGTCTTGTTCCCTCCCTTAGGGCGATGAACGACAGTTGTCAAAATCTTCACAAGATTAATCAGCAGAGGCCCCGGTCTAAAACCACTGTGGGGAAAACAGGGGACACCAAGTCTCTCAATAAGGAGCATCCTAATCAGGTCAGGATGGCTTGGCTTGGCTTTGGGAATAGCAAACTTGGCTGAAAAATAGCTCCATGAAAAAAGTCACATTTATTTAATTTTTGAGGACCTATGCTTTTAAAATTGCGGTGTGATCGAACTGAATTCTAGGTTTTTTTCCTAGTACACTATACTAAAACCATGGACACATTCCTAGATTTCCTAATGTTTTTTAACTTGAGCAGGAGGACTTTTGTCTCCTTCAAGTCTTTCCCTTGGTCTGGGTGCTGGGAGATGAGCCGGCAGGGGTTGCGGGGGGCTGGGGCCCAGTCAGAGCAAGAGAGCCTGGTTGTTGTGGAGCTTGATATTCTCATCTGAGGTAACTGAGCTAACCAAGATGGCGGGTCTTCCTGTTCCAGGAAACATTGCTGGGTTCCTAAGTGTAGGCCAGGCATATTCAGGTGTGGCCGGGTCTCTAGGTCTCCTGTTGGGCTTCTCCAAATCGCACACGGTTAGCCCTTACTGCAGGCCTTCACACTGGACTTCCTGGGGGCCAAAGAGGGCAGCAAGGTGAGTGAAGTCAATGGCTTCTGATTCAGGAGGCTCATGTCCAGAACCTTCTTAGGACAAAACATTCCAGGTTTCAAAGGAAAGAAGACCAACGGAAACTGAGAAAAGGAATGAAAAAAAATTAATGTCAAATAATGGAAAGGAATAATCACAAAACCCGACGGGTCAAAAAGATTCTCTCCCCTTGAGGAGATTCTACGGTTCTGGCCGCTGCAGCCTGACTCAGATGGAAGAGAGGTGAAGGTGGGGCAGGATGAGTCCCATGGGAGGCTGGTGCACTTAAAATTCAGCCCCTCCTGGCCAAAAACACCCCTGATCACAGGAGAAAAGACAAGCCAGCCAATGGGGTTGGGTTGAGGCACAACTGTTTCCTCCATTGGAAAAGCTGCTCAGGGCCCATGGTCTGGCACCTTCTCATTCTTCCAAGAACAACTCCTTCCACACAGTGCAGGCAGAGAGCCAACTCATCTTCCTGGGTCTGCACAAAAGTGGCTAAGCTACAGTGCACATCTGCGTTTATAGAGTTGCTATCCAGCATCGGACTTCACATGATGGCGTAGGCAGGTACAGCCGGCATCTCTCCAGGGCTGCTCACTGCCCATGTCTTCTTGTTTCTCTTTCTTCAGGAGGCAGTTAGTAACACTCACCTGGAGAGTGCCGATTTCGGCCTAACTATATCAAGAATCAGTAAAGACAGTGGAGAGGAAAATGCCCACCCACGAAGAGTAAGTGGAACTCTTGAACCTAACACTGAAAGGGGTAATTATTTCTATTTTTAAACATGAAAACAAAAAAAATTATTTTTGTCAAACAGGAAAGTGAAGATGTGATTTTTCAATGTTGGCTGTGAGGTAAATGCAGACGAGGGTCAGAGAATGGATTCTTCTCTGGAATCTTCTTTCTCAATGCATGATCTGGCATGAACTGCCCCATCTCTAAGGAGCTCAGTTTCCTCATTTGTAAATTGAGGGGCTTGGAAGAGATTGTCTCCAGTGTTCCCATCAGCTTAAAAATTCTGTAATTACAATGACAAACATTGGTTTGATTATCCTGCATTGTTCTCGTGTGTGTGTGTGTGTGTGTGTGTGTGTGTGTGTGTGTGTGAGAGAGAGAGAGAGAGAGACAGGGTCTTGCTCTTTAGTCTAGGCTGGAGTGCAATGGTGCCATCATGGCTCATTGCAGCCTTGAACTCCTGGGCTCAAAGAATCCTCTTGCCACAGCCTCCCAAGTAGTTAGGACTATAGGCATGCACCACAACATCCAGCTATATTTTTGTTTTCCTAGATAGGGTCTCATTATGTTGCCCAGGCTGGTCTCAAACTTCTAGCCTCAAGCAATCCTCCTGACTGGGCCTCCCAAAGCGCTGAGACATCTGCATTATTTAGTGAGTTGAAAACACATACTCATTCTGCTCTGCTCCGTCAGTGGCAGCTGATTAGTGGTGTCACTTTTCTCCTTGGAGGGATGGCTCCTGGTCTAAATGTAATTTCATGTGAACCGTGAAACATCAGTTGATATAGAGTTGATTTTGTCCTTGATAGATATTTCTACTTTTTTCATAATCAATCTCATGTCTGGATTTGTCAATAATAATGTCTTAAGCAGAAAAGACCCAGATTGGGTGGATGTAGTCAGAGGGCAGACTAAAACATGTGATTTGGAAATGAACAGCGTTTCTCTTGGTCATACTCTCCAAGGTTGAATTTCTTTAAGAGTCTTCTTTCTTTCTTCAGCCAAGTTCTCAAACCACTGGAGAGCTGACTTAGTTCTGGCCAGCTCTTAGAAAAACTAACTCTGTGTGTGTGAATTTGGAGAGGTGGCTGGAGCACCTCCCTGAAAATCAAGGGCAGTGACCTCACTGGCCTGAGCTGACTCCCTTCTAGGGCCTCACTTACATGGTAATTGCTGGAGATGATACCATTGGAATCAATGCCGCCCTCTGAAAAATGTTTCCTTGTTCACCTTCACTGCTGTTGTGTTTTCGGTCACCTTTGCCTAGCTATTTTGTGGCATTAGGCACTATTTAACCCAGCACTTAACCTTTGAAATAGTCTGACTATAAATCCTCTTACCAGCAGAAATATCCTCAGGGCCAAATGTAGATGGCTTTCTCCCTAGCATTTCACATGTTCATAGGTTATGTGAGGATATATGGCCTGAGACCAGTTTAAAAAAAAATCCAGATCTGTCATCTTCATGTTAGTACCTGTGTCTGTTTCGCATTGCTATAAAGGAATATCTGAGGTTGAGTAGTTTATAAAGAAACGAGATTTGTTTGGCTCATAGTTCCATATGGCACTGGGATCTAGTCAGCTTCTGATGAGGCCTCAGGAAGCTTTTACTCATGGAAGAAGTCAAGGGACCTGGCATTTCACATGGCAAGACAGGGAGCAAGAGAGGAGGGAGACGCCCAGCTCCTTTAACCAACCAGCTCCCTCATGAACTAACAGAGCGAGGACACACTCGTTACTGTTCCTTTAACCAGCCAGCTCCCTCATGAACTAATAGAGCGAGGACACACTCGTTACTGTGGTAAGAAGACCAAGCCTTTCATGAGAGATCTTCCCCCATGACCCGAATACCTCCCACTAGGCTCACCTCCAACATTGGCGATTACATTTCAACATGAGATTTGGAAGGAGCATCCATTCTTACTATATCAGAACCCAAGCTTTGGGACACCCAAGCCTCCCTGCAAATTTTAGTAGGTATATTGTTCTTAAGGCCATAGGCTTCAGAGTCAGCGTGTCTGGATTCAGAACCCAGCTCAGATACTCCCTCACTATGTAACTTTGGGCAAGTTGTTTATAATCTCTCCAAGCCTCATTTCTCTCATCTGTAAAATGGAAATCATCCTTGAGTCATAATGAAAGGAGAGCCTTGGTACAGTGCCTAGCACATAATAAATACTGCATAAATGTTGGCTACTATTAATGCTTTTTGTGTGCATCCTTGCTTTTTCCCTTCTACTTCTAGGGGAGACAGGGTGTTATTGGAAGGATCATGGGTTGGAAGACAGATTAAGTGGGTTTAAATTCTGGCCTTAAGCCATTGATTAGCTGTGTGGTCCTGTGCAAATCACTTAACTTCTCTGGACTTACTCCCACATCTGTGAAGCCAGGTGTCACTCCTGACTAGCAGAAGTTTTATAAGAATTAGAAAAGGCCAGGCATGCTGGCTCACACCTGTAATCCCAGCCCTTTGGGAGGCTAAGGTGGGAGGATAACTTGAGGTCAGGAGTTGGAGACTAGCCTGGACAACATAATGAGATCCCATTTCTACAAAAAAATTTTTAAAAATCAGTGGAGAGTGGTGGTGCACACCTGTAGTCCCAGCTCTTTGGGAGGCTGAGGTGGGAGGATCCCTTGAGCTTGGAAGTTTAAGGCTGCGGTGAGCTACGATTGTACCACTGCACAACAGAGTGAGATCATGTCTGTCTCTTAAAGAAAAAAAAAAAAAGGATTAGAAATAATCCTCACAGGATATGGAGAAAAGGGAACTTATACGTTGTTGGTGGAAATGTAAATTTATTACATTTGTACCCCATAAATTTACACAAATAAAAAATAAAATTTTTGTTAAAAATTTTAAAAATAACAAAAAAGAAATAGTCCTCACAAAGAACGTTGCACACTTATTTTGTACCCAGCACTCAACAGAGTGGGGAGCACGCATTATACTCTATAGACAGCAACTTGTTACTGTTGTGCCAATGAGTTCTTTCTGCATGTGTAACGTTTTAAAAGGATGAGACCATACAGGGGAAGCCAACATACAAGGAAGCAGATGGTCTGTGTCAGGAACTGAGAAATACTCATGAATTTTTATTCAAAGCCACTTCATTCTGAAAAATGTACTTACAATTTTTTAGGGTGCTCCAACTTGAGGAAATCATCTTGTTTAACACTAGTGCTGGTTCTTTTTAAAGCGTAACTTTAAGTTTGCTCTGTTTACCAGGGTATATAAATGTGTCTTGGTTTAATGAGAATGAGTTATTAAGAAGAGTTTTCTCTTACGTTCTCAGGGCATAAATAACCATTCCTCTCTTTCAGGGCCAAATCATTGACTTCCAAGGGCTGCTCACAGATGCCATCAGGGGAGCGACCAGTGAACTTGCCTTGAACACCTTCGACCATAACCCAGACCCCTCAGTAAGTGGCGAAGATGTGACATTCATCTTTCAAATTGCCAACATCCAGATGAACTCCGGAAATACAATTTTGAGTAAACCTTGAGGTCAAGTCAAAGGCCAGAGCCACCTGCCATCGTTTGTTTCACCGAGACCCTTACGTGCCCGGGGTTTCTTCCTAAATTATGGAGCAATATTGTAATGTGAGCCTTTCTGCTCCTCTCATCAGGAACGACTACTGAAACCTCTGAGTGCATTTATTGGCATGAACAGTGAGATGCGAGAATTGGCAGCAGTAGTGAGCCGGGTAAGATCCTGATACTCAATTCACAAATTTACAGAGACGGGCTGGGGCTTCTGGAGCTTTGTGGGCTGCTTCTTTTATTAATAACAATAAATATGATCATTTATTTATAAAGTGCCCCCACTTGCAAAGGCACTCATATTGTTTAGAGGCACAATAATGCATGATAAATAAATTATAGAATCATAAAATTACAATATAAAAAGCCCACCATCTCATGATAGAGGCCAAGAAAACCGAGAGAGAAAAGCCTTAGGAATGAAGGGACAGGTGAAAGGTTTTATAGCAGAGCCAAGAGTCAAGGAAAGAAAGCCTCTTAAAGAAGAAAAGAGTATGTCTGCATCTGGTTTAAAAAGTCAGAGCCTAGAAATAGAGACGTTGGGAGTCTGATGATATCATCATCGAAAATTTCCATGAAGAACACGATTAGCAGGAAAGACTTTACCATCCAGACTACTGGCTTTTCCAGCTTGCACTGTGGAATCAGCAGGCAGTGAAGAATAGGCTTTGGAATTAGCTGACCTGCATTTGATTTCTAGATCCTTCTCTTGCTAGCTGTGTGACATTGGGCAAGTTCCTGGGAAATAGATTCCTGAGTTATAGGATATTTTTCTAATTTCTAATGCTTCATATTTAATTGAAGACTGAAACCTAGGCAGGCTCAGAGGGGTGTTTAAAATGATCCCCAAAATTCACAGCTCCTCTAAGAAGCTAAGGGCTCTTAAGCTGTCTCTGTTCAGCTCAGCAGTTGTTTCTTATGTGTCAGGTGTGTGCTGTGGGCTAGAGACACAAAGGCGAACGAGTCAGAGCAGCCCTGGCCCTCAGGAGTGTCTCCTCCCACGGGCAAGGTTTGCTTTGAGAGCATAAAGGAGGCAGGGGTGGAGAAAGTGTTAAGAAAGAAGATAGGAAATCGCTAAGAGAAAAAGTGGAAGAGGGAGGCTGGGAGGCATCCTGGGCATAGGCACATCCATGAGAAATTGCAGCTTGTGCACATTTCCCATTGGCCATCTAAGAAGCAGAGAATGGTGGGGAATGGGTGGAGAGAGTCAGGGTTCTGGAGGAAGGGCTCCATGAGCAGTACCCAGGGCTGGGGACATGCCTGTAGAAGGTGGGACCTTAGAAAGGCATCCATTAGAGAATGGGATGATCCCATGTGTTTGTGGATAGCTTGGTCTATGATACTGAGGTGAATGAATAGCAAAGAAAAGGAGATGGGGAGACCAGCTATGAGGTTTTGACCAGTGAGAGGGATGAGGGACTGAGCCAGGCTACAGTAACGGATGCATAAGAGAGCGGAGCAAGTATTTTTTGTACCAACCCAAATCAATAATCTTATTACCATCTTTGCTAAAGGGTAACATGACCATGAGGATAGAACTGTAGAGGGAAAGTGGCCTGAGATGACTCCATCTGGAATCCTTTCTATAGTAGCATGGAAGGTAGAAACCCTGCTTACACTGACGGAGCGCTTGCCACCTCATGAGGTAGTCCTGTTGAATTCTGACTGTTAACTTTGGATTGATATAAGAAGAAACTGTCAGGAAATTAAACATTGCCTTGTGAAACTCAACTTTAGAAGAGGGCAGGAAATACTTCTGTTATCTGTGGATGCCTGGAATACCTAGGAAAGTGAATCTTCCTTGGGTGCCAAGATTTCCCTAAGGAAGGGTGGTAATAAGAATGTGAGTGGCTGGTGGGCCTCCAGTAGATCCAGGCTCTAAAGACAGAGTGAGGAAGACTCAGTCCTTTCTCTGTCATTCCACCCAAGAATGGATTATACGTATTGTGCAAGACCAAAGCACTTGTATAAATACTTTCTCTAGACCAGGTGTAGTGGCTTGCGCCTGAAATGCTAACACTTTGGAAGACTGAGGCGGGTGGATCACTTGAGGCCAAGAGTTTGAGACCAGCCTGGCCAACATGGCAAAACCCCATCTCTATTGAAAATGCAAAAAATTAGCTGGGTGTGGTGGTGTGTGCCGATAGTCTCAGCTACCTGGGAGGCTAAGGCATGAGAATTGCTTGAACCTGTGAGTCAGAGTTTGCTATATTGCAGACTAGGTGACAGAGTGAGACTCCATCTCAAAACAAAAACAAAAACAAAAAACTGTCTCTAATAAAAGTGAAAGTTGGCTGGGCGCAGTGGCTCACTCACACCTGTAATCTCAATCTCAGCACTTTAGGAGGTCAAGGCAGAAGGATCACTTGAGTCCAGGAGTTTGAGACCAGCCTAGGCAACATAGTGGGACCTCATCTCTACCAAAAATGAAAAAATTAGCTGGACATAGTGATTTGTGCCTTCTTGGGAGGCGGAGGTGGGAGGATTGCTTGAGCCCAGGAGGTTGAGGCCCAAGTGAGTGGTGATCATGCCACTGCCCTCCAGCCTGGGCTACAGAGCGAGACCTTGTTTTAAGAAAAATTAAAAATAAATGTGAAACACTTATGGTGGAGGGAACTGGATGGGTAGGGAGCAGGAGTAGGCACAAACATTTCACCAGCATTTAAAAAATTATTTAGGCTGGGCATGGTGGCTCATGCCTGTAATCCCAGCACTTTGGGAGGCCAAAGTGGGTGGATCACAAGGTCAGGAGATCGAGACCATCCTGGCCAGCGTGGTGAAACCCCATCTCTACCAAAAATACAAAAACTAGCTAAGCATGGTGGCACACGCCTGTAACCCCAGTTACTTGGGAGGCTGAGGCAGGAGAATTGCTTGAGCCTGGGAGGTGGAGGTTGCAGTGAGCCGAGATCATGCCACTGCACTCCAGCATGATGACAGAGTAAGACTCCATCTCAAAAAAATGTATTCATATTTTTGGACCATGTGCATATATTACTTATTAAAAATTATGGCTGGGCATGGTGGCTCACACCTGTAATCCAAGCACTTTGGGAGGCTGAGGAAGGTGGATCATGAGGTCAGGAGATCAAGATCATCCTGGCCAACATGGTGAAACCCTGTCTCCGTTAAAAATACAAAAATTAGCTGGCTGTGGTGGCGTGCACCTGTAGTCCTAGCTACTTGGGAGGCTGAGGCAGGAGAATTGCTTGAACCTGGGAGGCGGAGGTTGCAGTGAGCTGAGATGGCGCCACTGCACTCCAGCCTGGTGACAGAGCAAGACTCTGTCTAAAAAAAAAAATTATGTAAATATAACAGTAGTTTCCAGGTTTTTTTTCTATAGTCACTCAGAATGACTTTGGAAAGAAGGGTTGTTTTTTTTTTTTTTCCCCTTAAACCTTCTAGATATTCAGTTTGCCTGAAACAGCTCCTACTGAGAAAGGCCCCTTAGTGACTGCTCAGAGGTGTCTGCTGAAATTGAAGTTTGGAAACTAAATTAGTTATCAGTAAGAGCTACCTTAATTGATTATGCTAGATGCTTGCCACAGGGAAAAGTGGGAAAAACTGCACTTTCGCTTGGTTGTGGGCTTCCTTGAATTTGGTAGAAGCAATTGCTCCTGCTGGAAGTAAGGAATGATCGCTAGGGAAAAAACAGAAATTGGTTTCAGAGGAGCATTATCTCTTTTATGCAACAAATTAAGAAAGTGTTTGTGAGATCAGGGAACAAGAGCAAGGCCAGGTGCTGGCTAGAAACTATGTTTCACAGTAAAAGTGAATGTAATTTGAAGGCATATTCTGTAGTTTCTTCAATTTTGGTTATAAATCAACATGGTTTGCTATTGACTGAAGACAGCTAGAGTCCGTTGTTAGGAGGTTTTTTTTGCTCCCCGGAAAGTGCCATGCTGTGTTATCAATGTTTTTTTTTCGGGAAAATCATTGAATATTTTCATGGCATGCCTTTGGTGAACTAACCCAAAATTACAATGTATATACGTGTATATATATCTAATATGAACAGTTTTTATCACCAGTACTTTATATCCTATTGTAAGTCAAGTATTCTGCTGCTCCCAAGTTTATTACAGCTATAGAGGAAAACATCAGTTTTAACAAAATGATCAAATGTGCATTGCAGGACATTTATCTCCATAATCCAAACATAAAGTGGAATGACATTATTGGACTTGATGCAGCCAAGCAGTTAGTCAAAGAAGCTGTTGTGTATCCTATACGGGTAAGCACGGGAAGCCTCTTGGGGTTTATTTCTGTTCGATATCCATTGGACAAGCTGTATGTCACACACCTATCAGGAAGGGAAGGGCAGGATGATTTTCTGTCCACACGTTAACTTTTTGCCTGTGTCACAACACTTTCTCAACCCTGGAGCACCAAAGCCTGGTCCTTTCTAGATTGTTTAAAACCACGTTACATATTAGTTCAAGACAGGTGTGTGAGCTAAGTGAAAACTTTAAGATCTAAGACTCTACAGTATACATGATTTGTCAGATTGATTCAAATTAGCCCACTCCCTTAAAAGTATACTTATTGTTGTAGAAATGCCTCTAGTAGAGGAGAATCTCTCACTTTGTTTCCACAGATCCTTCCTTTATCCTCCCCACCTATCCCCCAGGAGCATCTGGGGCCTTTGCTTCTGGATGGTTGTGAAGACTGAACAGCCCCTTGCAGGGCAGTGATCAGCAAAGCCAGCCTGTTGCACTCATTACTTACTATTGACAAATCTCTGTGCAGTTCTCAAACTGGGGAGAAAAATAGAAAAACAATACTCTCCATGTTTGATTTACAAATAGGGTGATGAGGATGTAAGTGATAACTTAGCTTCTGTTAATAACAGACCACCCCACAACTTAGTGCCTTCAGACAACAACTTATTTGTTTGTAATTCTGTGGGTAGGCAGTTGGGTCTGGGCTCAGCTGGGCTGGCTCATCTCTTTTTCCACATGGTGGTATCGGCTGGGCTTAATCACATGTCTGAGCCATCAGCCAGAGTAGCTGCAAAAGATGGAAAGAGTGAAAAGTCTGGGACAAGCAGTACAGCTAAGGTGTCTCTCCATGTGGCCTCTCATCCTCTAACAGGAAAGCCCACTCCTGCTCACATGGTGGCAGTGGGTTCCCAGAAAGAGTCAAGAAAGGGCAAGTTCTAATTCACAAGCCTGCCTCTTTTATTTTTTATATTTGCCAGCCTTGTATTTTCAAGTCTCTTACATTTGCTACAGTCCTGCTGACCAAGTCACAAGGCCAGGCCCAGATTAAAATGTTGGAGAAATAGGCTCTATTTCTTGATGTAAGGAGCGACAGATAATTTGTGGCCATTTTCTGTAATCTCCTGCTGTCGGGATTATTCATTTATTTTATTGAATAACCTATTTAGTCTTACCACTGAGCCCACATGGTCCCTGATTTTTGGATGCTTTCCTCTAAAAAGACAAAATCAATACATTTGGATTCTCTTTCCCCCCTCTTTCTTTCTGTGTTCAGACTTAGGGGTAAGAAATACACTGGTGTTCAGAATTAATGGAAATTTACTCACCTTTTCCTCTAAGTGGAACTATAGCATAAAACATTTAGAAAGGATAGAATATCTCATTGAAATTCTCTGGATTTGTTCTCTCTATGGCATTACAAACTCCATGTGTTGAGATTTGACATCAGGATTAGCAAGAAACTGATAGCTAGTTGTAATTTTACTTACATTCCTTGCCACACCCCTCTCCCCCGTTCTCTACCAACCCTTCCCACCCATCTTCCCCAGATTGTTTGAATTTGAAATAATAGGAGAGACTTACTGAAGGCTATGCATGTCCAGTCTCTTGTTAGTGTCCTGTCATGTGTTAGTGTCTCTTGACACATTTGCCCCTGAATACTCCCAACTTCTAAAACAGCTTTCCCCATAGCTCTGTACTTTATTCGAGTAAACCTCTATTAGTTGGTTCTAGTATGTATTTTAAAATTCATACCTGCTTTACACCATTCAAAAGATTGCCAAACGCTCTGCATATAGATGTCTGGGGAAAATGATGTTATGCATGTAAAAAGTAACTGTTATAACAGAGAGGAAGAGAACCTACATATACCTTTCTTTTCCTTAACAAATTGCTCTTTTAAAAAGCCACAAAAATTAAGTCAGGCATTCTAATCGAGGGTGAAAATAAAATTGGGATGAATAAGACCTGTTTATTTAGGTCAGAGGCAGATGACCTTGAGCGAAAAAGGGAGCCGTAATCTTAGAGCTGCGCTGCTTTTGCTTCAGCTTTCCTGGGTTGTCTGTGCTGAGAATATGCAGGCTGATGTGTCAGCACCGAACCTCATCCTTGTTCCTTGTTTCCACAGTATCCCCAGTTGTTTACAGGAATTCTTTCCCCCTGGAAAGGACTACTGCTGTATGGCCCTCCAGGTAAACACAGCTTCCTATTTTGATGTCAGTGTTAAGCGTGTGTGCAGAGGATGAGTTGCTCCTTCTGTCCTCTCTTCAGGACTGGGGTACATGAGAGCTGAGCAGCCACTTCCTTCCTCTTGTGTGAGACTGACTTCTGTCTGTAAGCAGGGGGATGGAGCTGGTGGAGTTGAAATGCTTGCTCATCTTTTACGTGTCTCTCTCTAGGTACAGGAAAGACTTTACTGGCCAAAGCTGTGGCCACTGAATGTAAAACAACCTTCTTTAACATTTCTGCTTCCACCATTGTCAGCAAATGGAGAGGGGATTCAGAAAAACTTGTTCGGGTAGGAATTCTTAATTTTGTTTTTAAAAATAAGTTCTAGTATAATACAGCGGTACAAAATGATGTCAGAGCTTCTTTGCTTTTAGATGATTTTATGTTAGATTCAATCCTGGATCTTGATTACCACCAGCTTGGGAAATGGATTGACTATTATGTATGGATGTTAATTGTGCACCCATGAGCAAAACATGAGCTCCTTTCCTTTGGGAATTCGATCAACAGCTCTTTTTTGATTCATGCAATTTAGGCATTTAAGCTGGGGAAAAAAATCTCTGACGTGGCATATTTTTTCTTCATTCAAGAGGCATGTATTATTTAACATGTACACTACATTTGGTTAACATTTATTGAGAGGCTACTACTGTATGTTAGTCCCTATGCTGGACGCTTTAAGAAAGAATCAAGAAACTTTAAACTTCATTATTTTTTCAGATGTTCTGAGCACCTTGGCTTCCATAGTGCCCATAGCCTGTAAGATTTTTTGCTCTCAAGAGGTTGTTTCTATCTTTACAATATCACATTTATAGTTGATGTTGTATTTTATATTATAAAATAGTACTGAATCTTCCAATGACATTAAGAGCACTTTTATTTATGGTTTATGTCCCAGCGTAAGACGAGTCCTTCTTGGAAATCCTGTTAAACTATCACAGTCTCATAGAACGGCAGATACCTAATCAATATAAGTGAATATAAAATATTACATATTTTCTGAAAAGTGATTAACAAATTATGCTCAAATTACACTCCGTTAGATGACTCTCAAAATATTATGGCCTATTTGGAAGGTATAATAGAGTATGTTTAAAGGATTGACTTACCTAAAATAACCTACTATGACTTTGATATCATTTTCAAGTTGTTGCAAACATGTGAGCTTATATAAATCCTTATTACCCCTTCAAGATGGTAATTTGTGGAAATTTACATTAATAACTTCTATATCTTTGTTCATCTTGTGTCTAACTCAGTGCCAGTTCCAAAGATGGGCTTGAATTTAGCTGCACTTACAGTTACGTGATTTTACTTAGCTGGAGGTTCGGTTACAGCTGACCCTTGAACAACAGTTGGCGCTTCAGCAGCACAGGTCTACTTATATGGGGATTTTTTCAGTGAAATACAGTATTCACAGGATGAAAAACCCGAGTAGATGTGGATTTTCCAGGGTTGACTGTGGGACTTGAGTATGCACAGATTTTGGTACGGGGGAGAGTGTGGGAGGAACAGGGAGAGGTTCTGAAACCAGTCTCTTCCATATGCCTAGAGACGACTGTAGCTGAAATTCATCTAACTAGAATTCTTATCACACTGAAGTTTTTTTTTTTTTTTAACATTTCATTTCTATATGCTGAACAGCAACAAAACTCTTAAAAGATACCACCCAGAATTAGTTTAGGTTCATCTCCCATCATGAAAAGTGGTGTTTACAATCATGAGCATAAGACACTGCAAGGTGCACCAAGAAAGATGACATACTCTCGGGAAAGGGCTTACCTAGGCAGAAGGGGAAACTCAGAAAGTTTATAATATTCCTAACAAAGATTGAAGTTACATGGATTTTCTGGTTTAATGTTGAATAGCTAGAAAAGTCAATTAACAAGAATTCTCCATCCTGTGAGAGCACTGTATTTACTTAAAGTTTTCCTCTGGTTCAATATTATTTTGTTAGGATTCTAAGAGTGAAGAAAAGTCCTGGTGGAGTGGGAGCAAAAATAAAAAAAACAAAAAAGAGTGAGGAAATGATTCTTTTTCCAATTTCTTCCTTTTTTTTTTTTTAATGGCGTCTCTCTCTGTCACCCAGGCTGGAGTGCAGTGGCACAATCTCAGCTCACTGCAGCCTCCGCCTCCTGGGTTCAAGCGATTCTCCTATCTCAGCCTCCTCAGAAGCTGGAACTACAGGTGCACACCACCACACCCAGCTAAGTCTTTTTTTTTTTTTTTTTTGTATTTTTAGTAGAGATGGGGTTTCACCCTGTTGGCCAGGATGGTCTCAATCTCTTGACCTCATGATCCATCTGCCTTGGCCTTTTACTATGTTTTTAAAGTAACTAGCCTTAAATAAAAAAATATAAAAGGATATACAGACTCCATCTCCCCAGAGGCAACTACTATGAATGGTTGCTGGAGTAGCCCTGCAGAACATTTATCTATTATCTACATTAACGTCAACAACTGTTTCTTTTGGTTTTCATTTTGCTTTGAGGCAAGGTCTTGCTCTGTCACCCAGCCACCCAGGCCAAAGTGCAGTGCCACCATCAGAGCTGACTGCAGCCTCAACCTCCTGGGCTCAAGTAATCTTCCCACCTCAGCCTCCCCTGTAGCTGAGACTATAGGCACATGCCACCAAGCCCAGCTAATTTTTGTAGTTTTTGTAGAAACAGGGTTTCACCACATTGCCCAGGCTCCTCTTGAACTCTTGGGCTCAAGCAATCCTCCTGCCTCAGCCTCCCAAAGGGCTGGGATTATAGGCATGAGCCACCATATCTGGCTTCTGCTTTTCTAAGTACAAGGAGGGACATACCGTATGTTCCCTTTTGTACCTGGCTTTTCCCCCCACTTACTACATATAACTTGGATATTGTTCTGCACTATTATATATAGACAAAACATGTTCTTTTATTTGTTTATATGGTAGTTCATTGCATGAATGCACCAAAACGTATTTAACCAGTCTTTTCTTGATGGGCCTTAAGGTTGTTTCTAGTCTCTTGCTATTATGAACTAAGCTAGAATGGGCAGTCTTACATGTACACATGTTTTTGCCTATATAGTAATGTAGGACAATTTCTACAAAGTAGAATTGCCGAGTCAGAGGAAACAGACATCACTGATTGCCAGACTGCTTGCCAACAGGGTTGTACCCGCTTACAGTCCCATCAATGGCTCATGAGTGTGTTTGCTTCTCCACACCCTGGCCAACACTGAGTAGCACCAGTTTTTTTTTAAATAAACATTTGCTAATCTAATAGTAAAAAGTAATAGTGTATTTCAGTGATTAAATGTGCATTTCAATATTTCAGTGCTCGAATGTATATTTCTTTGATTCTGAATGAACTTGAGCATCTTTTGAAAGGTTTAGAAAGTATTTATATCTTTTTGTGACATGCATTTTTATTTTGGATTTTTTTTTTTTTGAGACGAAGTCTTGCTCCTGTCACCCAGGCTGGAATGCAATGGCATGATCTCGGCTCACTGCAACCTCTGCCACCTGGGTTCAAGAGATTCTCCTGCCTCAGCCTCCCGAGACCATGCCCGGTTAATTTTTGCATTTTTAGTAGAGATAGGTTTTCACCATGTCGGCCAGGTCTTCAACTCCTGACCTCAGGTGAATGCCCGCCTTGGCCTCCCAAAGTGCTGGAATTACAGGTGTGAGCCTGGCCACCACTCCTGGCCTATTTTGGATATTTTAAAGAATAATACAAGAAGAAAGAGATAACCTCTGCTAACCTTGAAAGAGCTCATCTGATTTCCTTTCAGAAATTGTATCATTTTCTCCCTGTTTTATGAGCTTTTGGGAAGATCCTCAGCTGGACAATCTCGGTCATGCTGTTAGGCTTCTTACTGTGAAGCTTTCAAAGAAAGCAAGCCCTTCAGGACCTTCTCCTAAAGCAGAGAAACTTTTTCTACCATTTGTTTCTCTTTCTATTCCAATTAAAGAGTTATTTATAGGGAACCATTGGGTTATGGTCCTCCCGCCACTCCTAATGTTCATGCCTCTCAGGAGCTGATTGCTACTGAATAGCTGAGTGGTCTCTTTAGCAAATGCATACACCTGTTGATGCTCACATCTTTCAATGCACTGCCCCTCAGTTGGAAGATTTAACTTCCTCCAGGTTCCTCTGAAAATTTTAGGCTAATGCTTCCAGAAACACTTACCCAAGATCCTATGTACTCCCCGGGAGTGGAAAGAGCAATGCGGGAGTGGAAAGAGCAATGCAAAGGGCAGTATGGAGAGCTAGTCTCCAGGTGTGATTCCTCTTCCAGTTGGGTGTTTGGTCTAGCAGAGATTCTTGGTTTCTCTGCCTTTAGTGAGCACCTTAAAAACATGTATGGGTTTAATAAAGGATTCTAATATTTCCTTTCTTATTAGGTAAATTGCCAGTGTTGTAATCACCCTTAATATTAGGTATATTGGGGCTTCTTTGTGTGTGTGTGTGACAAGGACAGAAAGTTATTTGCTCTGAATTAGGTGGTCTCTATTGCATCTGAAAGGCACTGTGATGAATGCCCCAGCATTGCCATTGTTCTCTCAGTTCATTAAACTCCGCCAATGATTCCAATAAAACAATTCTGTGAAAGAGAGATGTTGCTGCATGAGCTTGGATGTACCCACCGGCAGTGGGGAAGGTGAGGAATTTCCCATTCGGTGACAGGGATACCTGTGAGGGATGAGCTGCTGCTGCTTGTAAAACCACAACATGGCTTTTTCAGAACCCTTTCCCTCTGCTTCTGTGATGCTTTGCTAGTGCTAAGTGACATGGAGAATAAATCCCTCATGTCTATTAAAGAATCTCTATTCTTTTCTAAATCTCTACTGTTTTCTCCCATCAGCTGGTGAAGGATTGTATATGATGCTCAAGAGATCAGTTTCAGGGTTAAAAAAAAAGGTTCAGGTTGTTATATTCTATTCATCACTACCACATCTTCCTTTAGAGCTCTTTATTTTGTTTTTATATGTCTGTCCTTTTGCTGGTTGCTTTCCTGTTCTTGTTCAGTCTATAATATTTCATTTTATTCTGGAATAGAACATCGTATTCAATCAAGAACTGCCTTCTGGTAGCTGAACCTACCAAGCAGCCTTGTTGAGGCAGTGTGGGAAGGCTATAGAGTAATTTGGGGAACACAAAGGGGTAAAATTTGTCGGCCTTGTTACCCATGACTGGAACCCAGTCCTTCCCCTGAAATCCTTTTTTTCTGAGAATAACCTCCCATTGTCCCCAAAGTTTAAGGGAAGAATTATCAAATGATTATACATATTCCAAGGCTCTTGTGTCCATACGGAACATATTACTGGCAGAGTGTTTCAAGAGTTAACTAGCTGACTGCAAGCCTTGGAACCGAATTTTATCTGAGGCTCTCATATTTATGATTAGTAACCTTGGAGTAACCACCCTCTCTTTGCCTCTAATTTTATCAAGTGATAAATGGAAATAATTGGACCATCCAACCCCATGGGGTAGAGGTAGGGAGAAATAATTGTAATGATTATAAAGCTATTGCTAAATAACAGAGTGCAGCATAAATGCCTATCATTACAGTCATTCTAAGCTTTTACTCTCTGGGAGCATCTGAGGACTTTAAATCTATGAGCTTGAACATTGCCTTGCTTTTCCCCCACCCAGGTGTTATTTGAACTTGCCCGCTACCACGCCCCATCCACGATCTTCCTGGATGAGCTGGAGTCAGTGATGAGTCAGAGAGGCACGGCTCCTGGGTAATGGCCAGGGTTGGGGTTTGTGTTGTTGTTTTTTGTCATCGTTTCTCCCCTCTTGTAAGTGTGTTTGATGGTCGGAAGCCCATCGACATTTACCAGCAGAATGAGCCTATTAATAAGCCCACAAATTTTCTGCAGACACATGGAAAGGTCTTTAAATTAGATCCTGTTAACTGAATAGCTGATTTAAGTAGTTTTTATAACCGGAGGAAATGCCATCCTCCCTTCCCCCGCTCCCCACAGAGTGGTTTTCAGGCCTGAAGATCCTCTAGCCCCAGGATCCCAGGCTGCTGTATCGGTCTTGCTGGCTGAAAATAGCCACTGTGATGGCCTCCTCTGGAGCCAGAGGGGCTGCCCCCAGGGAACGAGGCTTGCCCACTCAGCCACTGTGCAGGGCCACGTCTGTACTTCACTCCTGAGAGGTAGTTCTCGACGGTGTGTGAAGGCTGGGAAGCCACCACTTCTCTGTGGCATCAGGTTATGGCTCAGCAGGGCTAATTTTAAAGACATCACATATATTATCTCTAAAGATTGAGTGTCACCGAATGTCCTCAGCAGGAAGGAACACTTCTCAGACTGTAATAAGCCTTCTGTTTGTGCTTCCAAAAGCCTGAGTAGTGTGCTTTTTGTTCATTCGTTTTTAAGATCAGCTTTCTGTCTTGATCAGAGGTATTTCTCACTGAAGCTTTTTACTAAATCGGCACCCCCCAGCTTGAAAAAACAGATCTCTGGGAAATCTCAACACAGCTGCATTTATTAATGACCTTTAATGGTCTGTCATCAAGCAGAAGTAATAGTAATAAAAAGCAATTAATTAGCTCATTGGAAGTATAACTAGAATATAATTTATGAAATTTTACTCGTTGGAAACCATTTTCCCAGCAGGGAAAAACAACCATAAAGATGTACTCGAGTAATATGGAATTCACGTAATTCATTGAAACGGGACACTTTCCATGGCTCAGCTGGAGCTGGTGCTTGTCAGCCCTAGGCTGGAGTGCTCTGCTTTCTATACCAGGCCTGACAGGAGCAGGCAACTGCACAGGCACCCAGATGAGAATGCACCAGCCTGCCCTCATAGTCACTCTACAAAGACCAGGTCTCCCTATGCACTTGTTCTTACGTGCTTTGTCAATATCCCCAGTCTCCCACAGCCTTCATCTGGCTAATTAGAAAACTGCTATCCTTGCGTGTGTTCCAGGTTCTGCCCTGAATTTCTGCTTCCTTCTCTGGGATCAAAGACTCTGAACTTAGAGTCTTCAAAGGGCCAGAAAATAAGGATGGGTGCTCTGAAGACTTCTTTGATCGTATTATGTTAAAGGACTCATAGTTATGCACAAGTGCTAATTAAATATATAGCAAATATACGGGCAAATGCTAATTTTATATATTATTACGAATGCTAAGTATATAAGTATAATATATAAGACCCTCTCTCAGTATATGTATATTATACATAGTATATATATATATATGTAATATATAGAATAAATAAATATTATATATATACTGAGAGAGGGTCTTCTCTCTTAGGAAAGGCAGTTGAGACTTAAGGGGCATAGGTCCTAAAAAAAAAACATATACCTAGCCAGAGGTATCTTAAACAGGGCTTGTGCCTGAGGTCCCAGCTACTCAGGAGGCTGAGGGTGTGAAAGTACTTTTCTGTGTGCTATGTAAGTGAAAGGGTTTATCCTCAATTATGCCGTTTTTAAAGAGGTAAATAATGCTGCAGGTAGACACAGTGGGCTGCATTTAATCTACCAGTGGCACTGCCTACCTTTCAGTTATTTTCTAGCTCACTGCCAGCCTTTGGTTTTCTTTTAAATACCATCATTATATTCATTTACTTGCTTTCCATCATGCTCTATGTGAAAATAACACCAAATTGCTTGTTTTCTCTAACTCTAGTATGAGTGGCTTCATTAGTCATCAGAACAGACACTGTTCTAATCACAGGGACGTGGCTGTGAATGCTGCTCTTGTCATGAGGGCAAAGGCTCTGACGCTTGGGAAAATCATGTCTTGTCCCTCTGTAGGGGAGAACATGAAGGAAGCTTGCGGATGAAGACAGAGTTACTGGTGCAAATGGATGGGCTGGCGCGCTCAGAAGATCTCGTGTTTGTCTTAGCAGCTTCTAACCTGCCATGGTAAGAGACCAAGAGAGTGCATTTTGAGTACATTTTCAGGAGTCACTAAGTACAAATAAAAATTTTATATTGACCACTTCGGGCAAAGCCGTGTGGTTTGGCTGCAGCCCTGGAAGATTAATGTGAAGGCTTTACTGTTCCAGTCCTTGCTGTCTGTACCATGAAAGATCTGCCTTAACAGAGGGAACCCTGGCCAGGCTGACCACTGATAATATGGAAAATGACATTTTGTGTTTAAAGCCAGATTATATAGTATGTTTAAATTAAGTAGGACTTTGGCATAGAACTATAAAATCCTTAAAATCTCCAGGACTCAAAGAATATTCCAGAAATAATATGTTTGAATTTCATAGTATTAAAATTAAACTTGTTTTTTTAAGTTAGGAGGAAAATTTCTTTGATGTTTCACAGTGAGTAGGAAGGTAAATAATCTCTAGTTGAAAATATAATCTAGGTTGGGTACAGTGGCTCACGCCTATAATCCCAGCACTTTGGGAGGCCGAGGGGGATGGATCTTGAGGTCAGGAGATCGAGACCAGCCTGACCAACATGGTGAAACTGTATCTCTACTAAAAATACAAAAATTAGCTGGGCATGGTGGCACATTCCTATAATCCCAGCTACTCAGGAGGCTGAGGCAGGGGAATCACTTGAATCAGGGAGGTGGAGGTTCCAGTGAGCTAAGATTGCACCACTGCACTCCAGCCTGGGTGACAGAGCAAGACTCTGACTCAAAAAAAAAAAAAAAAAAAAAAAATATATATATATATATATGTGCCATTTCACATGAAGCAAATCACATGTCACAAGCAAAGGATGAGGGTTCCAACTTCTCCACAACCTCACCAACACTTGTTATTATATGTCTCTTTATTGTAGCCATCTGAATGGATGGGAAATGCTTTTGATTTGCATTTCTCTGAGACTAATGATATTGTACATCTTTTCATGTCCTTCTTGACCAATTGCATATCTTCTTGGGAGAAATATCTTTTCAAATCCCTTTCCACTTTAAATTTTTTCTTTTTATTATTGAGTTATAAGACTTTTAAAATATATTCTGGATACAAGCCCTCTATTGGATATATGGTTTGTAAATAATTTCTCTCATTCTGTGGTCAGTAGTCCCTTCCTCCCTCCTTCTCTTCCTTCCTTCCTTCTTTCCTTTCCTTTCCTTCCCTTCCTTTCTCTCCTTCCCTCTGTCACTCTATCCCTCCCTCGTCCTCTCTATCCCTCACTTTCTTTCTCTCTTCCTTCCTTTCTGAACTTTTTTATTCCTTTTTCTCTCTGCCTTACTAAACTTCCCATGTGTGTCCCATTTCCCAGGCCCGGGACCTTTCAAAGACCCTGTACCTGGTTATTTGACAGCAGCACTGTCTAACAGAAACATATTGTGAGGCACATGCAGACTTTGATGTTTTCTAGTAGCCACATTTTAAAAAGTAAATAGGTGAAATTGATGTCAGTAACATATTTTATTTAACACAGTATTTTCAAAACATTATTTTAAAATAAATATAAAAATTACTGTGATATTGTAGTTTTTATCTTCATACTAAATTGGAAAAATCCAGCATATGTTTTACACTTACATCACACCTCAGTTTGGAATAACTGTGTTTCAATATCCAAAAGCCACATGTGGCTGGTGCTACCATATGAGAGAGCACAGATCCAGAGACTCATTTGTCTTCCCTCATGCTGCTGTGGCAGAAATGGACAACTGCCTCCCAACATTTATTTCATCCTTTGAATTGAAGAACAGAATTTCAACTTGGGGGTTCTGTTTCTTAGTCTTCCCCTGATGTTAGGTGTGGTCAAGGCCAAGTTTCCTTGTTATTTGTGCAGGATGACTCTGGTCCATTTTGTACATTTTGTTCCTGGAATCAGCCATTTATTCATGAAGCCCTGGTGCCTTTAGTGGGAAATGATATCAATGTTTAGAGATCACGGTCTCATAATTAGGCCTTTTGATTAGTCAGGGCTGGGAAATACATATCTTTAAAATAAGAGGCAAATAATGGGTTCATGCTAGTATTCCCCATTCAAATGTAAGATTACAGAGTTTTAATAGATTTGATTTTATATTTGTATCTTTTCTCTGTGAAAAATCTCAGTTTTTAGCATTAATATAATTAATATTCACTTTATCCCAATATCTATAAATATTATACATGTGTGTATATCACAGAGTTTCTCAGTAATAACACCAGTACTATCATGACAGTGACATTCTGATGAGGAGAATGGTACTGACCTGGCCTAACTAAGATGAAAGAGCTAATGCAGGATTTCTCAGCCTCAGAGCTACTGACATTTTCAGGCCAGATAATTCTTTGTGGTGGGACTGTCCTGTGCATTGATGATGTTTACCAGCATCCCTGGTCCTCTGTCCACTAGATGCCAGTAGCACCTCCTCCCCAGCACTTGTAACAACCCAAATAGGTCTTTAAATATTGCCATATGTTTTCTTGGAGGCAAAATCGCCCACAGTTGAGGATCACTGGACTAATCTAAGGACTTGAAAAACATCACATAGAGACAAACTGACATATATTCCACAGCTAAACTCTCAAGGTTATTATTTAAAAAAACATAAAATAACTGAACTTGGTTTTCTTACACAAAGTGTAGCTTATTACATTAATTTTTCTGTATCTTGATTTTATTTTAACAAAATATCCTGGCAATCTTTCCAAATAAGTACATAAAGTTCTTCCTTACTCCCTTTATAGCTGCGCAGGGCTCCGTTTTGTGTATATGATCATTTATTCCACCAGCCACCTAATGACAGGCATTTGGGTTAATCCTGCTCTTTTGCTACTAAAAAGAGTACTGCAGTGAGCAGTAGTGTGGAGATCACACTTAGTATATTTGCTAGTGTATCTTTGGGGTAGGTTCCTCGAAGTAGATTTTGCTGGGTCAAAGGGCTAATGTGCATGACATTATGGTAGAGCCTGCCAAATCTCCCCCACAGAGGTAGTACCACTAATGTGGGGGAGATTTGTATTCCCACTAATGTCCTGCTTTCATTACTTAACACGACAGTAAGAACATTTCCAATGTCATTAAATAACCCTTGAAAATTGGATTTTATAATGGCTGCCCACAATTCCCACACATGAATATACCATCATTCCTTTCCTGTTGAACATATATGATGATCCCAAACTTTCTGTTATAAATAACACTGAAATGAACTTCCTTGCATAAAAATCTTTGACTGAAGTTCTGGTTGTTTCCTTAGGACAGATTTCTAGAAGTCAGATTACTGTAGCAGAGGGTTTAGATGTTTCTTAAGTCCTTTGTGACATATTGCTGAAGTCTTTCTATGAGAAAAGAGTGTATTTTTTAGCAAGAATATTGGGACAGATATTTTTCTTGGCTTCAGGGTCTTAGATGAGGGAATAGACTTATCTGATTTGAGCAGTCTGTCCTTCTAGGGGAAATAACTAAATCATACCAAATGATGTAAAGACCCAGTCTTGAAATCCCCAAAGAAATTCCTTACAGTTAGTGGCAGTTCTCATCTATTGTATCATCCGGGGCACTAGGCTATTCTTTACTGCTGGTTAACTTACCGCCATTTTCTCTAGACACATCTATTCTGTCTCAAAGGGGCAATCATTTTCTCCCTTCCCAGCAGTGACAGGTGTGCAGACGTTGTTTATTCAGCGCTTCTCCTCCAAAGAGCACCTTCCCCAGTCTATAACATCACAGAGAAGACCAGGAGAAAGAACAGCTCGTGTGTGTCAATTGATATATAAACAAGCAAGGAGAGGAATAGCAAATGCTGCGTCTTTAATATTACTGCTTAAAATAATGGCCATGTAAGAAACTTAGTGGACACAGTTAGGACTAACTTGACACCCCTTGATTGTTGAGTATTCACAAGCTCAAGCCTACGAGTCAGGCAACAAAATACTGAACAGGGTCATTAACGCAAATGTCATTTTGAAATGTCTGTTTAACCCCTTGAGAGTTTGTACAATTAAGGTGTGAAGACTGAATGTATGAAACACGATGAAACTCATGTTTTCCTTGCAGTTTGTAGAAGGGAACACATCCCAGTAACTCTTAAAAATCAGATACCTGGTATACCAAACTCTGGATTTAAAAATCCCTTAACATTTAGAAAAAAACTTAAGATCCAAGAGATGATTGCACTCGGAATAAAAGGATTCTTATTCACTTGCGGGGAAAATCAGCCGGGAAAAGAGCTGTCAGTCGGTAGTGGCTCACCTGTGCCGTTGCCTGGTGACTTGAACTTACTTTTTCAGCCAAATTCGAAACCTGCAAGGGGCAACTGCTAACAGGAATGTCTTTGTGTTATCTATGTTAACCCAATCCCCATATGAACCCTCTCCTGCTGGTGTAACATTTCTATAGCAATGCATGCATGTGATTGGAGGGATCAACAGATGTGACCCTTGTTCTTTCCATAGTAACCATGTGCATTTCTGGGCTTCAGGGAGAAACTGTGCTCGCTGAGGTCAGGCCTTGTAGCCTTGACTGTGCCCTGACTAGATCAACATTTTTCCAAAAACAGTCTGTCACAGGTCAGCAAGGATTGTGCAAAAAATGAAAGGGAGGGAGGAAGGAAAGAGGAAGGAAGGAAGGAAGGAGGGAGGGAGGGAGGGAGGGAGGGAGGGAGGGAGGGAGGGAGGGAGGGAAGGAAGGAAGGAAGGAAGGAAGGAAGGAAGGAAGGAAGGAAGGAAGGAAGGAAGGAACGAACTGTGGTTCCACCTCTGGGCTTTTGCAGTCACCTGCGTCTAGAATCTGGAAAGCAGTGGCACCCCCATCCCGTTCCCCTTCGGATATCTGCAGGGCTTTGTTGGTTACCTTCAGGTGTCTGCTCTGATGTCATCCGCTCAGCATTCCATTTAGAATTAAAGCCCCAGCTTCCTATGCTGCGCTGTTGCCTTGTTTTTTATGTGCTGTCACCAGAAGTGATGCTTATTTGGAATTAATGGCGCTTAACGTTTACAGCCCCTTGATTT